GGGAAACACACGGTACCTTCCCAGAACGGATAAATGCACCAACCTGAACCCGTGTGAGCCCGCTGCCAAACCGTCAGTTCTTGCTCCAAGGCCTGGAGGTGCCAGAACTGGTTAGGAGCAGTAGGAAAAACGTCTCCACATTGTGGGAAAACAGCTTGTTTTGCCAACCTTGTTCTGTGAAACAGTTGAACTGTGCCTTTTTGAAATGCTGGAAACTAAACCCCAGCCTGAGGCACTGACCCAGGCTAGAAAACCTTCAGCACGAGCAGTTAAAGTCTGGAAGCAGAAAAGCAAAGGTGACGGAAAGTGTACAAGGCAGAGCTGATGAGAGAGATTCCTGCCAGCTCTTTTAAACACGTGTACTTCTGATCACGGTCTAAATGGCTTTGGGACGAGCATGCTGTGCTCAAGAAACCTCCTTTTCTTTGAGTCAGGGAGAATTTGACAATAGCCTTTCGGAGGGGCAGGTATCCTTGCGACATGGCAATCCAGACCAACGCAAGCTCTAACAGAGCACAGTAACTGTCTCGCGTTCAAGAAATACTGCAAGGTCAGTGGACAGAGAGCAGCTCCAAAGCTTGCCAAAATTTGTATCGAACCCCCAAAAGTCTGTAGTACATTTATTTCAGAGGGGACTGAAAAACATCGATGGAACCACTCAGCAAGTCACAGTCTGAGGGACTCTCACGGAGGAGGGTCCTCACCAATGACACTTCTGACCTCACAACTCAGTTGCCATCTTTGACTCCAAATTAACACCACGCTGTTTGGGAGATGATGAACATCAGAACCAGACTCTGACTTGTCTTTGGCAGGGCCAAGTGCTGGATGCAGTCGTACGGGGGACAAGCCCTGCCCTGCAGGACTGACCTTCTCAATGACTGGAAGAAGAAATAGCAGCACCAAGAGGCAAACAACCGACCCAAGGCCACGCTGCCAGCTCGAGTGGCATCCTGCATCCCACAAGCCCCCGCTGGGGCTGGCTCTTTGCCTGGTTAAGAAATACTGTGACTAGAGATGCCATCGGGGACAGCCTGCAACGGAGCTTCTAGTATTACCACCTCCAGCAGAGCTGCTTGGTAGGAAAACAGCGCTGATATTTCTGTTTTAAAAGCAAAGTGCTCTGCAGACAGCCTGTATTTCCAAGGAAGGGGGAATATCTAATCACCTCTGGAGAGCAACCAGGACAACATGCGTCTATCTGTAATGATAATGATTTCTAATAGTATCGCTCTGTTTCCAAAAAAAAAATCATCGGAACTGAGAAGGACGTGTGTGTTTTGTGTAAACCTTGAAATGCCGTGGCCTGGCAGAGTGGGAAACACTGCTGGAGCCAGGAGAGTGTGAATGTGTTACTCTGCTGGGGCAGATTATATCGGAGATTGATACAGGAAGCGAGAAAAAAAAAACCAAAACAGTGGGGGAAATGAGAAG